GGACACAGCAACTCTCATTCAAGTTTAACCCTTTGTGTACTTGACATGATTTTTTTTCTCAAAAATTAGGCCTTTTCTGTCAATAGCTTCTAGCCCGTAGGAGCCTGTGACGCAAAACCTAGTACCAATTGTAGTACTTCATGAGTCCTATGGGACACAGTAACTTTTGTATCACTTCAAGCGCTCTATATGTATTTTTATTGTGAAATTGTCACCCCAATCATGTTCAATGTTAATAAAACCCAGTATATAGCACCTCTAAGAAATTTTCAGAAATTTACTGTCACATCCCAAACGGAGGAGGAAAAACACCGTTTTAAAAAATACCCATGTACTTGTGGACAAGGCATTAATCTCAGCGGAAATCATTCTATGGGCCAGTGTTTTTGAATCTCATCAAATCTTTCATGAGCTTATAAATAATGACACATGAAAGCTAGGTACCAGTTGCTGGTAGCACTTGTGCTGCAGATACATACAGTGTCAAATACATGGCACTCCTGAAACTGAATCCCATGTTGCTTAAAAAGTTTAAACATGTTGCTGGTGTTTCCACCCTTGAAATAATCGACATTACAACTAATGCTGTTATCGTCTTTCTTTGTGAAATATAGCCATGTTTTGGACCACTTCTTCCTCTCTGCTAAGGCAACACAAGACACACGTGTGTGATGATAATTTGCAATCAATGCACACCTGCTGGCATCAGTAAAGGAATTGATAGAGACGTATGATGCTGATGCTTTGGAAAATTTGAAACCAGTCCTCTAGTGGCACCGGTTCTCGATTTCCATCCCTAATTTTTTTTTTCCCATTTTTTCCTTCTTTCCTAGTTCAGTCTGTGTGTGTTTTTTTTTTTTTTTTTTGCTGAGTTGGTCTTATATTACTTGCACTCAGGACTATGTACATATAGGTGCACTAAAGATAAAATGTTTACAACCGTGGCATTAAAGCAAAACTGTGGTGTTAACGTGTTGCAAAAATTAAGTGGTCCATAGCTTATTCTATTAAAAAAACACAATTCTGAAGAAGGAGCAGGCTGGAGAGGGAGAGCCAAAGAGCAATCTCGAGACAGACAAGTGGTAATGAGAGTCATTAGAGTTAATGTTCAGATTAAAATATTTTCCAAGAAGAGTAATTTACCCCTTTCACATTCACACATTCGACATTTGTGGTTTTGGTCATTTGCAAGTTAGCTGTGAACAACTGAACGAAAAGATTTTTGGAGCTTCTCGAAAGATTGCAGAAACTCAGACGACGTGTAGGCCAAAAACAATACTGAACATAATTTGGGTCCCATAATGGGTGATATAATGTATACATTGTATTAATACATATTATTTGTTTGTGTAAGTATGTACTGAAGGTCTTGGCTTGGGTACGCCATGTGTCTTTGTCTCGGTAACCTGCCTCATTCATGTAGCTGTCTGAGTGACTGTGGAATCTCTCGTTTCTCTCAAAACTTTTAAACTTTTCATTACAGTTAATTTTACATTTTTAATATAATGAAACATTTTTAATTTAATAATGAGTCCAAACCAGAGTGCTTCCCGTACATTCAATAGTAATTTTGTACATACAGGGGCATAATTTAGATGGTTTGTATATTACATATAAATGTTTTGATAGAATATGACAAAGTAATTTGATGTGCAATGTGTACACCACTGTCTGTTTAGAAATTTGTAATAAATAAACTCATCATTCAGGCTAGCAGACTGTTATGGGTAGTGGTTAGGGGTGCCCCCCATAACCCTCACTAATGTAATGGGGGTATATTAAGTCTTAAGTCACTATCAGTCTTTCATCAACAGAAAAAACAGGGTATGCAAATAAGGACAACTATTTATCAGCATGCAAGGTCATAGATTAACAGGGTTTCCGCGGGTCTTAAAAAAGTCTTAAAAAGTCTTAAATCACTTTTCCGTGAATTAAGGCCTTGAAAAGGTCTTAAATCAGACCAGCAAGTCTTAAATTCATATGATCATGGCATTAATTTTTGTGAGGGATTGTTTCCTCGTGTGTTTTGATTTTAAAGAGAAGCGAAAGCGTAATTTCTGTGCTACATGGCTTAGATCGCTCAATATTCATTGAACGGTAGATGGCGTTATGTGCTGCTTCATCTGTCAGTAACCCGAAGAAGAACTTGACAAGCATGCGCAGATGAACCCTTTCTTCTAAAGCGCGCTATTTAGACATGTAGTGCGATTGGAAGGCCGAAGAATACGTATATTCTTATGATTCTTATGATTATAATATAATATCATAATTCTTATGATTATAATATATTCGTATGAATTTCCCTACGATATTTTTTTTTTCCTTAAATTTTCTTTATTTGGTCTTAAAAAGGTCTTAAAAAAGTCTTAAATTTACTCTTAGAAAACCTGCAGAAACCCTGATTAATACAATACTTCACCAAAAAGAAGGAGGTGTTCAAATCATGTGCTAGTGTGACCAACTGAGAAAGCTGGTAGCCGCAGTGCTACTACTGGAGCCCTGGTCTGGAAGGTTTCAAGTCCTGGGCTTGCAGAGTAATCATACCACCTGAGAAAAGCCCTTAACCGCAGTTGTTCCAGGGATTGACCCCAAACATGTCACTTAGGACAAAAGATTCTGCTAAAAAAATTAACGTAATGTAAATGAGTTGTCTCAGTACCCCTATACTGGATGCAGGCTTGTCTCATTAATATATATGTAAAAAATCTTCTCCTATGTGTCTAGTTGCATAATGAGGATGACCCCTCTGAAGCTTCCTCCAGAGCTGAGGCTTCCACATCCAGTCATGAGCCCCCTCTGGCAGAACCCACTTTGTCAGTTGATGTGGAGGCCCCGCCCCCTCCATATGCCAGCATTGCGACTGGAGCAACGGCAGCACCAGGTAAAATAATCTTAGGGTGGTCTATTGAAATTGATATATGAACTTTGTTCTCAAAGTTTATCGCTACCTCTTAGTAAACTACACTGTCTGCTCTAAAGCATTTTGTTGGGGTAACTATGCATAGCCATGTAACTGCCTGTCCAGTTTGCTTCAGATATGACAATGTGTCTTTTGCGGAGTCTTTGCTAGTCAGAAAAATGCTGGTTTGCGCAGAGCAGTGCTATTTCACTCTGTACCTTGCCACACTGGGCCATTTCCTTAGAATGACTTGTCCTATAAAGCAAGGTAGGTTGTTATATTTAGAAAGCTGTACCATGGCAAATCCAGAAGATGGTTGGGTGGATGATCCACACATCATTATTTTCACTGCGAAGTACAGCCTTCTGGTATGCAGTGTGAGGAGGTGCAATGATCTCCTTACAAGTAAACATGAAAGATAATCACAACTATAATCCCTCAAACACAATCAAGGTGCTTTGTATTTTCAACTTCAGTACAAGCTTTGCCCTGGTGCTTGTTTGTTCATTCATTATTTATGTTTTTTAATCGACATATCAGGTCACAGTGGCTTCAGAGGGCACTGACTGGGGAGAGAAACACTTTCTCTGGGTTAAGTTTCGTTTCATGTAACAGCAATGCAGTGTATTTTTCTTGAACTACCTAGAAGTTGCAGAGAAACCGGACTAAACCCATTAGTCCTCTCTGTTTCCTCCAATACAATGTCCTCTAACATAAGGCTTCTGATTATGGAAAAAACGTCCTTTCTTAGTACTTGCCCTCTGACAAAGGGCATATGGCTTGCAAATGCGTGAACCCTGTTGTGTTTGTGCCTACCATTTAATAATTGACCAGCACACTGACGATAAGGCCTTTCTATTCTCCAATGTCCCACAGAGGTTGGCTTTCAGGGGGACTTCCCGGTCCCTCCCCCATACAGTGTGGCGACCTCCCTCCCCACCTACGATGAGGCAGAGAAGGCCAAAGCGGCCGCCATGGCAGCAGCAGCCGTGGAGGTGGCACAGCGGGTAAACTTTTAGTGCTGGCTTGACCTAGCTACATGGGATCGGAGTGGAAGGGGAAAGCAGTGTAAACAGGGCATAACAGAGCCTCTTTCCCCACACAAGATTTTTGTTTGCACCAAGAGTGCTAAAATAAGTCGCCTTTATTAAAGTAAATAATAAAAAGGTCATTTGGGGCAGTTCAAGGGCAACTACCCTTGGTGGTTCTGTCTGCTTTCACTCTGCTTGGCTGTCTCAAGTACAGATTAAGGAAGTCCTTTATGGACAGATGCGGGCAGCAGCATTCACATCAGGCACTTGTCTGTACCTGATTCTATTGAGCACCTCTTTGATGTGATCTTTGAATGGTGTTACCCCTTGTTTGAGCGGTCTCTTGTTCTGTGAAGTGCATTAATATGGATATGCTGGATGTGTACTAGGCAAAGAGGATTATTTCTTGTTCCAAGTATTGCTTTTCAATGAATTAATTGATATTCGGAGGAAAACATAATAGTGTTATTGTACCAGCAAAACAATATGACATCCTGAAAAAAGGTTGCCAGTGATCAACGCTTGCTGCCATTCTAAATATTTAAAGGTTCAGTCAAGCACTAATGAAATCTCACCAGCCCGTAGATATGAGTAATCGATTGTTGAAGTACTTCAGTGTTGTTTTCATAATACATTTGGCAGGTAAGTGGATGTTAATAATGTTGCACAACATTTATGTTCTTCCAGGGTCTTGCATATATCTATATATAATTCTTGAAGTATTAAAAAATTCAAAACACACACACGCACAGCCTCAATTTAGTGACTATGCTCCTTAATTTTGCTTCCCGTCTGTCCCTTGGGAGTAATGCATTTCTCTTTCTGAAGGAGGAGGAATTTTCACCCCGGGAGGATTTCAGTGATGCCGACCAGCTGAGAGTTGGCAACGATGGGATTTTCATGTTGGCCTTTTTCAGTACGTAACTTAACTGGATTTGCTTTTTAACAAAATGTTTATGATGTACAAGACAATGAATGTTCACAAAGGTGTAATATACACCTGGTTGTGAAATTTCTGTAGTGACTTTCCAGAGATTGTCAGTAAGAACAGGCTGAAAATTTAATATTCATGTGTCCTGTATCAGTCGATGAAATAATATACATTGCAGCCTGTAATTAAATATAGTGTTGGAGTTAGTATTGAAACGTTTAATTAAATTGAAACATTGTAACTAAACATACAACCACCAGGGGGCATCTTCCGCTAAGCTGCCATTATGAATATACCCTGCTCAAAAAAAATTAAAGGAACACTTCTTAATCAGAGTAAAGCATCAAGTCAGTTAAACTTCTGGGATATTGATCTGGTCAGTTAAGTAGCAGAGGGGGGATGTTAATCAGTTTCAGCTACTTTGGTGTTAATGAAATTAACAATAGGTGCACTAGATGGTCAACAATAAGTCAACCCCCAAAACATGAATGGTTAACAGGTGGAGGCCACTGAGTTTTTTCCCTCCTCATCTTTTCTGACTCTTTTGTCACTAATTTTACATTTGGATGGCGCATCAATATGTGATGGCGCATCACAGACTCAATGGCATGGGTGAAATTCCAAGAGACAGGCAGTTACTCTAGCAGAGCTGGACAGGGCCATAGAAGGTCCTTACCCCATCTGCAGGACCGATATCTGCTCCTTTGTGCAAGGAGGAACAAGATGAGCACTGTCAGAGCCCTACAAAATGACCTCCAGCAGGCCACTGGTGGGAATGTCTCTGACCCAACAATCAGAAACAGACTTCAATAAGGGTGGCCTGAGGGCCCGATGTCCTCTAGTGGGCCCTGTGCTCACTGCCCAGCACCGGGGAGCTCAATTGGCATTTGCCATAGAATACCATAATTGGCAGGTCCACTATTGATGCCCTGTACTTTTCACAGATGAGATCAGGTTCACTTTGAGCACATGTGAAAGTTGTGAAAGGGTCTGGAGATGCTGTGGAGAACGTTATGTTGCCTGCAACATTGTTCAACGTGACCAGTTTGGTGATGGGTCAGTGATGGTCTGGGGAGGCATATCCATGGAGGGACGCACAGACCCTCTACAGGTTAGACAACGGCACCTAGATTGCCATTAGGTATTGGGCTGTAATCCTTGGACCCATTGTCAGAACCTACACTGGTGCAGTGGTTCCTGGGTTTCTCCTTGTGCACGACAATGCCAGGCCTCTTGTGGCGAGAGTATGCAGGCAGTTCCTGGAGAATGAAGGAATTGATACCACTGACTGGCGCCCACACTCGCCTGACCTGAATCCAATAGAACACTTGAACATTATGTTTTGGTCCATCCGATGCCAACAGGTTGCACCTCAGACTGTGCAGGAGCTCAGTGATGCCCTGGTCCAGACCTGGGAGGAGATCCCCCCCAGGACACCATCCGTCGTCTCATTTGGAGCATGCCCTGACATTGTCAGGCATGCATACAGCATGTGGGGGGCCATACAAATTACTGAGTACAATTTTGAGTTGCTGCAATGAAATTTGGGCAAATGGACTAGCCTGCTGCATTTTTCACTTTGATTTCAGGGTGTCTTTGAATTCAGCCCTCTGTAGGTCGATAATTTTCATTTCCATCAAAAAATGTGGCATCCTTTCATTCCTAACACATTACTCAGTCCATATCAGTATGCACTGTGTGCAGAATTATTAGACAAGCACTATTCCTGGAGATCATTTTTAGCAAAAGGTGGCCATAAGAATGAATTTTGAAGCTTTTTTGTGCACGAAGTAAATTTAGAGAGAAAATGTTACATTTGACTTTCACAAACAAAAATAAAAGAAAAACGCTTGATTATCAGTATGCAGAATTATTAGGCAATCAGAAATTAAATGGATTTTCTCTCTTCACCATCAAAAGAAATAATAAGAAACAATTTTTGTTATTCAGTGTATATATAAGGAATAACAAGCTATCAGCCGTTCAATACAGTCAACCCAGTTTAATGGCCAGTATAGCCAACTTTCTTGACCATCATGAGCCTGTTTCCCACTGAACCAATCAGGTTTTTGATTTGATCCTGTCCTATATTAGCTGAGCTAGCTAGGACCACCACCGAGAAGTTGCTCTGAGAAGGGTACTGCTTGCTACTTTGGTAAATCTCACACTTTGGTAAGGCCCAGTAGTTCTCAATGGGGTTGAGTAAGGCAATGAAGGGGGGCAGACCATAATTCAATCACGTTTTAAGCCTTTGTAGACCAATCTATGAAATACTTTGATGCATTAGGAGGGGCATTGTCTTGCAGGAATATCATAAACTTTTAGAAAGCTGCTGACTTCTTGTGCTTGAAGAAGGTATCTTCTAGAAATTTGCGGTAGACCTTGTGGTTATTTTTTACACAATCTGCAAGTCAGAAAGGTATGACAAGTTCATCACTGACAATTGCAGTCCGTTCTCTCCTCCACCACCTTGTTGATGCTTAAAGAGGATCTCCATCCACTGGCCCATCCATCTGCTCCATCAAGAGTCACTTTCATCTCATCTGTCCCCAAAACCTTTGTACCATCAGTCTTGAGATTTGTCCATGCCCATTCTTAATGTTATACCTTACATTCCTTATTGAGTGGAGGCCATGCTTCAGCGTTTATGACCTTAGGAATGTCACGTAGCACACTGCACCTAGAACGTCTGGAGATTCTGTTCAGATTGCAGTTTTGAAAAATTATGGCATTTGATGCTTAAGAGTTTCTGGAAGTCTCCCCTTTAATTTGACACAGAACTTTGGCAGTTTATGTGTGTTATCTTCTCTCTACAAGCCTCTTCAGTCCTCTTTGGCTGTTGGCAACAAAACACTTGATTGTACAGTAATCACATGTCAAATGTCTGGCAATTTCGATCATTTTGCATCCCTCTTACTGGTATTTTACTATTTTGTTTTTTTTTCCTGCTCTCTGTAAGGTCCTCTTTGGCCAGTTCTAATAGTAATAATAATTTGCTTAATAATTCTGCACTGGAAAGTATCCATGCTTTCTGGTTTTTATCCAAACAGAAAGTATTCAGACCAAATACTGAACATTTTGCTGTTTTTAAACAGTTGATTCTTAATTAGATATTCATCTGGACTCAAAGTATTGGTCGGTTGAGAAGATACAAGTGAAATACACACTTTCCTAACAATTCTGCACGCAGTGTAGATATCCAGCATGTTTTTTCCCATTGAGATCTGATGTATTTTCAAAGTGTTCCTTTAATTTTTTTGAGCAGTGTACATGGGCCTTATTGTTTTGTCTTGTATTTTACTTGCTAACTTTTGTTAATAAATGCTAGATTGTTAATGTCAATGAATATCGGTTTCTCTCTATCTTTCTCTCTCTCTCTCTGAAACAGTGGCTTTTCTTTTCAACTGGATTGGGTTCTGCTTGTCATTCTGCCTGACCAACACTATAGCAGGCAGATACGGTGCCATCTGTGGGTTTGGCCTCTCTTTGATCAAGTGGATTCTCATTGTGAGGGTAGGTGTGGCAGGACAGCTGTGAGTAATTGTTACATGGACTTGTTTGTAACCCTGGAGCATAAAAAGATTGAATTTCAGTTTTTTCTGATGCCTTTAGATGGGATTCTGCAGTTCTTTATAAGGAATGGTATGATAATTGAATGTGAGGCGGTGCTCTTGTTTCATTTCAGTTTTCAGACTATTTTACTGGATACTTCAATGGGCAGTACTGGCTCTGGTGGATTTTCCTTGTTCTAGGTGAGTAGATATGTCATCTGGTTGCCTTTAAAGAAGGTGGGATCACTGCATGGTTTATGAATAGTATTGCTCTCAGCTGCATTGATACAAAAGTGCACTTATCACAATGATCCTTTGAAATGTATGTAGTGGTTATATCTATATGTAGATAGTAAGATAGTTTGATGTAATTTAGTAAGACTTATAGTAAGGATTTAAACTGTTTATCTGCATACGAGTACATTTAACCCATTTGTGACATTGTGACATAGCAGGGGGCAGCTAATTCAGCACTTGGGGATGGTACCTTGCTCAGGGTACCTCAGTGGTGCCTTGTGGTCGGGGATTCAAACCAGCCATCTTTCAATTACAAGTGCGCTTCCCTTACCATTAAGACACCACTGCCCTCTGTACAATTTGCTGTACAATATCCCATTCTGCAGTGACTTTTATATACATTAAGATGAAGCAAGAAATTCCAGCAATCCTGCATTGAATTCCAAGTGCTGCTTTAATTAACTACACACACGCATGTCTGATTTCAAATGCCACCTTGTACGTACAACATTAAAATAGGATCTCTGAAAGATGTTAGTGTAAGACTTCCTTGCTCCAACATCATGACAGAGCGTGAAACTGGTTGTTCTCTCATCAACTGGTCAGTGATTATCATCTTCATCCTCCAAAGCAAACAGCCAATCATAGGATTCAAAGTGATCAATCGACGAAGTGGAGAAATCAGCCACTGTTCCCACCTCCATAGTCTCAAAACTCAGCCCGTTGAGTGAGTGAGCGAGCGTTGTGTACACACAAGCCTGTAGAGATGGCCCAGCGTGCCCGAGCACAGAGATATGATTTGAGAGAGGTTTTCTGCTTGCGAGTACATACGTACGTGGGGTTAGGGTTTTGAAACTAATTTAACACCAAGCGAGTGTCATGCAGACACGAGTGCATAGGGAGGATGGGTTTTCTGTTCATGAGAGCATACGTGTTGTTTTTATGTGCGTGAGTTTTGAGAATAATTAAATACCATAGTTTTATCCATTTACCACCACAGTGGTTATAAACCTGCCACAGGGAATGTCCAATGTGTGACATTCTTGTCTGCTTTCACCAGCGGTCGCGTACAACAACGGTGAACTCAGGCTTTCGCCTCAATTGCACGAGTGCTTTTTATAGCTCAGCAATTTCATTGCAGGCTTGAAATTACTCATTATGTATGCTCAGAGACAGGGACCGTGCTAGTCATTTTTTTTTTTAAGAATATGCTCTGTTTAACTATGCTTTGTCAAAAACATAGGAGATGTGACTTGTAAGTTGTATGTGCTGTGACTTATGTAGGCAGGATATTTGAAAACAAAGTTGACGCCTTTTTATAGCTACTTTTGGTGTTTTTTCCATACCTGAAATCTATGCTCACTTAACTTGTGCTGCATCTGAGGACCTATATTTCCCTCTTGCATCCCTCTTCGGTCATATGGCCTCACCACTTCACCTTTGGGCACCCGCTGGACACTTCTGTCCCCAGCTGATCACCTTCAAACTTTGCTGCATTCCACTGCACTCCCCTACCCCCAACATGGATTTCCCTTCAAACATGTTTCCCATATCAACCAACCGAGCACACACTGCATGGCCCTGAAGGGCAACCTATTGCTTTTCAGTCTGTTTGAACGCATTTTATTTTTTTTTTGTGTTTCTACCACTGGAACTGTGCCCCTAGTCAGTACATCTGTTATGGGATTTACGTAAAATTCATCTCCTGTTAAGCAGTTTGTACAGGGGACCTCTCTATCTGGCAGTAGGAGTGGTATGTACATCCTGGACATGAAGCTGACTGGGTCATGTTCACATCTGAAGGCTGCCGAATCAAAGATTAACCTTCAGATCCAAGTTGCTGTGATGTAAGTTATGTTAATTTTTAGTTTTTTTTTTAATAACACATTCATGTCCTTTACGTCTTCTTTTTCAAGGTCTGCTGCTTTTCTTCAGAGGGTTTGTGAACTATCTCAAAGTGCGTAACATGTCTGAAAGCATGGCAGCGTCCCACAGAACCCGTTTCCTATTTACCTATTAGAGGTAAGGAATCTGTTCAGTCCTGTATGTTATGAGCCATGGAGGTGTTCACCATAGAACCAAATGTGTATTTTTTTCTTAGTTTTTTTTAACAATAGTCTGTATGTTTTGAGAATGGCTTTCATTTTGAAGCCTTTCATATGATTATTTTATGATTAAGTTAAACTTTATGATTTTCATTTTTAAATTGGTAAAACCTAAATTGAGCAGAGGTGGTTTTTGACTGTGTGAACAGATGGTCTCTGGTTCAGATCCCGTGGCTTGCAAAGTGACGTCACATTTGGGCAAAGCCCTTAACCCAGTTTTCTCTAAAGATGCTGGCTGACCCTGATCTCTGTGCGTTGCTTTGAACAAAAATGTCTGCCAAATAAATGTAAATGCAATGTAAATAAATTGATACGACTAAGGGCACTCTTAAAAGTAAAAAATAGAGTAGAATTTTTAGATTTGTTCTTTTTTTTTTTCCTTTTCTTAGTACTTGGTATGAGATAAGTGTAACACCATGAGTGAAACAATAACTTCCTTATGTATTGCAATCTTTTTCTTTTAAGGTTGGGCTACCAGATGTCCCCTGCCCCATAAATGTCAAACCTCATGATAACAGAATTTAAAATATAAGCTGTATCCCAGGCTACAGGAACTAAGAAATGGCGCTGTGAACCAAAAACACAAACTACTAGAATACATAGAAAGGTCTTGTTAACGCTTCTTTTAAAAATCCCCACCGATCATATTTACTTTCTTCCCCATGAGGAAAAAACAAGTCTGCCTCATTTCAGAAAGCAGTAGTTGGCATGTTAGCAGCATCACGTGTATTTAAAATGTTTCTTCCATGCCCCCTCCCCCCGATATAAGACAAACAATGAAGCATTATGTAGTCATCAGAATGAGTTACACAACACAGTTTTGCCACTTTTATTTTTCAGTCAAGATTTTGGAATTTGCTGACTTTGCACTGTATATCTGATATTTAAAGAATATTCACCTTTATTAATCCTCGATCTGAGTTGTGTCAACTTAATTAGCCAATCCATATTACAAATACACTATTCAAGAACTTATTTTTTCCTTTTAACCTGATGTCTGACATTGTGGTGTGTAAATGTACAGCTTTGCCAATTGTTTATTAACTGGAATTTGTACTTAATCATGATATTTGCATTTCTGCCTTTCTTGCAAAAGGGAGTTTCATTTGAATTTCAGATTTTAATATGTAGCGTAATATGCACAATACAGAATATCTGACATTTGAACACTAGCTCCAAGGATGACTTTCTTCCCAACTTGTCCCTGGTGCTGTCCATCGCTTGAAAATATTGTGGCAGTTTGAGTCTGATCTGATCTTTACATCCCTCATTTTATTGTGGACAAAAACTGACCTGACACACACTGGGACATATGCAGAATGTAGGATGCATGCACACCAGGGGTGTCTCTAGAGCAGATGCTTTTGTCACTTCATGTTATGCTTCATTCTGTGCGAAGGCAGTAGATGGGGATCGGAGATTCCCTTCTGGAAGTGTCATCAAGCTTGGAAGTTGGAATTTTTTATTTGAAAACATTTATCCTTTGTTATAATTAGCTGTATTTTTTTTTCTGTTTTCTCCCAGATGGAATGTATTTTCCTAAACTGTGCCATGTCTTGGGAAGTTGATTTCATTATTATTATTATTATTATTATTATTATTATTATTATTATTATTATTATTGAGCCCTTCTCATGTCATTCCATAAGACACTGTTTAGCAATTTAAGGTCTTAGAATTAAACAGACCACAAATGCATGGTAAACTTGATTGAGCTGGCTGATATAGTATAACAATGCAATATTAGTGTTTAAAATATACTTTTTTAAAATTGGAAACACTTCTGATTATCCATATGTACGTTTAATGTAAATTGTACCAAGTCAGCAGAACACTAATAAATTTTAAAATGCATCTTGTAAATGATTCAATTTTTATTGACTGCTTTGTATTAATCCTTGGATACCTTCTGCATTGAGGTATTGAGCACCATAAATTGTAGAGTTTTTTTCCATCTTTTGTGAGTTTCTCAACATCTTCATAAATGGTAATCTACAGTATATATTACTTATGATAATGGTAATTGTCATAGAGGTGCTCTCTGCATATCTTATCCATGTCATATTCTAAATTAGCTGATTGTCTTAACATTTTTTTCTCATTGTGCAAACATTGTGGGACGTATGTATTTTACAGCTTATGGAAAATTATTTTACATGTTTATACAATGGCAATATCAGAAACTCTGCTAACCTCTCCCCCTTAACTGTGGCGTCATCTACTGCTACATTTTTGGAAGTACAGTGGTGCCTGTGGTTCACGAACGCTGTGGTCTACAAACAATTTGGTTCACGACCAAAAATTTCATGAAAAAAATGCATTGGTTTGCATGCAAAAATTGGTTGACGAACAGATTCCTTGACCAGGTTCCTCTTTTTATGTTAGAGTAGCACCAGCGGGGAGCATGTCCCATCATGCCCCGTGTGCAGTTGCAAATAGAAGGATCACAACAGCAGGGGTAGAATTACTTTGTTCGGGGGGCACAGCAATGTTTGCCTTTTATCCCCTCAAATATAGGAGGGCACTAAGGCATTTTCCCGTAGGTTCGGAGGGCACCAAGGCAATCAAGAATTACTGGCCAGGGCACTGAGGCAAAAAGGTATATAGCCGGACACATGAAATATTTAGCATTCTGACATTTTCAAGGGCAATAAATGCATTAGCACCCTGTGAAATAGTGTTAGACTAGCTATTGAAAAAAAGATGCCACTACGAACTGTCCCGCAACACTTCCGCGAGCCACTACGAACTGTCCCGTGACAGCAGCTGCAGGACAGTACAGTTTATGCTCTAACTCCTTCTCCGTTTTCACTTCAATTCAATGCACATCTGGTATCAATTATTTCAATCTTCTATGAATTATTACAGTCTATTATAAATTATTACAACGTCAAGTAATGACAGATAATTTCCATAACAATAGATGCGGTATGATTGGGAAAGACATGCATAACCAGCGAAATTACCTAAAAAATTTGGTTATTTTCAGGGTCTTAGAAGCAGCGGCCGTCATTTCAGCCTGCTTTCTTTTTTTCACCCGATCTTTGGTAGGCATTTTAATTGGAACTTTGTGGCCTTATAACAGGTCCTTAACATGTATTTGTCGATGTAAATCGATGATTGTTCACGTGCCAAAAATACCACCAATACAGCCTCACTTTCAAAAGAACTTCTAAACCTTCTCACCCTCCCTATTCTATGAACATGTTGCTATTAGTTTCGGAGGGAGGTAAGCATGGGCTAGAATAGCCGCTCTGAATAATTTAACCATGGAGGCGTGGCTAACGAAAAATTATCGGATGCGCTTATCAACCCAGATATCATGGACATGGCGACAGAGAAGTAAAAAACGGAAGAACTTGTTCTTGATTTCATAAGTTTATTGAATTTATTACGATCTAAACATACACAATAGGGCACAAAGGCAACTGAGGAAGAGGGCACTGCAAGTATCTGCCGGCAAGAACTTGTAAATATTCAGGGCAGCAAAATTGCTAAGGCACGGCGGCTTTTGCCGTCGATGCCGTCGATAAATTCGATCCCTGCAACAGGCACCCAACAAGCACCGAACCCAAATACACAGACGGGAAACACAAGGTTGTAAGATGCCGAACTGCAAGATGCACACACGGTGGAAGATTTACACACGCTAAATACACACAAGGATCGGACCAGGTACATACAAGACATGAGCAAACACATGCGTGACAATAGGGAAATGCAACCATTAACATTAACATTAAATTGTCTACTTGCAATTGAAGCCCTTCCTTGAATAACATACAATTCTGGAAGTGTTTCAGTCCGGGTTTAAAAGTCGCGACAGCACTGAGTCGGCTCTGTTAAGAGTTTTTATTTTTTTGTAATTCAGTGTTTTTATTTGTTTTCAAAGTAGCATATAATTTACATCAAACAAGAAAAAGTGTTAGACAATTACTACCCCCCACACCCTCCCCCCAACCCTCTCCCCACCCACCGCACTTCAGGAATTGTTACAGGTATATAAATAGAAAAACTACAATATTACTAAAGATGGTTTAAATGACCAAAATCTCTCTAACTGAATAGAAACAGTACTTCCACATAGATGAAATAATTTTCAAATGGATAAACTGATGGTTGGGGTTTGTGGATGCACGAAAAGTATTATCCCATACTTTTTCCCATTCAATTTTTCTACTATTAAGAATCAATTCGGATAACCACATTCTTGCTTTTGGAAAAATCTCCGCTTTATGAGTTGCAAAACAAAAGTAAAAATAAGACACTGTCCCTTTGTTTGGCGCATTGTTAATCCATTTTACTACCGGATGAGTTTGAAGATCAGTACCCCAAGGTACCTTGCATGCCTTTAATGCTGCACGCAACTTAAAATATAGAAATAACGTATTCTGAGAAATATTAAACCTTTTAATTACTTCTTGAAAATCTAGAATTGATTTTTCTCCTTTTATGTCATTTAATATTAGAATACCTTTTTCTGCCCATGATGGCTGTACAAAGGGTTTTCCACCAGAAAGTAAATTTAAATTATGCCAAATAGGGGTATGGGTATGCCATATAATTTTAGAAGAGAGGAGACTTTCTATTTTCTTAAATATTTGAAGAGTGTAAGACAAAATAGAACCATAGTATAATGAACACTTCCTGTAAGAGACGCCAGAAAATAGAAAGTCCTGCAGACGAATTGGTGAAATTAAATCTTTTTCTATTTGTTTCCACGAGGACTGTGAACAAGGATCAAACCACTTCACAACTGGGAGCAAAACGAAGGACCAATGATACCATTTGAAGTTGGGGCAGCCCCATCCACCTTCCGATTTGCTTTTTTGAAGTGTAGACCACTTAATGCGTGGACGTTTTCCATTCCACACATATTTTATCAGTAAAGAGTCTAGCTTTTTCCAATAATTTGCTGGTGGGGAAAGAGGAACCATGAAAGAGAGATGGAGAATACCGCTTTTGTCAAAATGACAGGTTCGGTCAAAGGTCAAAAAGGTCACATAAATCAAAAATGACAGGTCTTTGAAGTGAGCCATGTGACGCAACTAGTGTTAATTAAAGGTAAGATAAATCAAAAAAATGACAGGTCTGGGCTGTGAGCCAGCAACGACCAGTGACGTTGGGAGAGGTTTAATTATTATTATTTTTTTATTGTTTATTAATTATTTATCATTGTAATATTTATTATTTTTTTATTTATTATTTTATTATTATTTATTTATTATATTATTTGAGGAGAGTGAATTGTGTGCTTATGAGTGGGTTTTTGTGGGAATAGCCCCGTGCTACGAGGGTGCCGAGGACGGAGCTGAGGACGGGGGCTGAGTGGGTCGATTACCTGATGGAGTGTGAGCGTACGGTGCCTGTGGAGCGGTACCTTGGGAAGGTCCAAGGCTTTGGAGAATCCGCAAAGGACTCGGAGGGGGTGCCTGTGGAGCGGTACCTTGGGAAGGTCCCGGGCTTTGGAGAATCCGCAAAGGACTCGGAGGGAGCGATGCTGGAGAGCTGTGAGCTGAGAATTGTGCTGCGCGAGACTGAAAGAAACCCTGTGAGAATGAACAAGTTGGAGCTAAGAATGAGAGGAGGAGGAGGGTCTGGGTCTGACGCTATCCTCCTCCAATGAACGCTTAGCGGCAGTTTGGGTGTGTGTGTGTGTGTGTGTGTGTGTGCGTGAAAGCCGACACCCCCCTGCAGCAGTAGCAGTTTGGCCTTGTGGTCTTCCACATACAACCTATGTACATCCCG